CAAAATCAAGCCAGCTAATCATTTTAACATGGAAGGGAGTTATTGGAAGCTAATAATTACTAGAGGCAGAGAAGTCACTTTTCTTGGGCATGTGGCCAGTTGGCTGTCTGTGTTCCAGTGGATGGACAAATGGGTAGAAGCAATTGAACTCAGTAGATTATTTAAAAGGAAATGAAATTGAAAAGGAGATGAGATGTATTGAGGTTGAGGTGGAGGGAGGGAATGGGGAATAGATATGAAGAAGATGCATTATATGGAATTTTTAAGGAATGAATAAAAATTAAACAATACTCATTATTTAATACCAGTGTGGTTTGATAAAGACAATTTGTGACTTCATTTCTTCTTTTAAAGACAAGGATAATGCCTTGTAGGATTAGCAATTTGAGGGATAATCATTAAAATAATGAATGCAAAATGTATGGCATCATGGCTAGCTCATGCTATCTGGGATTGCAGAGAGGGATCAGTTGCTAACAGTACTTTTTATTCTTAGAGAAGATCTGAGTGCAGCTCTCAGTGCCCATATTGGGTGACTCAAAACCCTATATGTCACAACCCTCCAGTGACTTATCACCCTCTTCTGGCCTTCACAGTCAACTACACTCATGAGTACATACTTCCACACAGACACAAAAGTAATTAAAAAAAAGTAGTAAAAGTAAATCTCCCCACAAAAAAAAGAGAGACTATTTTTATCATTATCTCTGAGCACATGGTTCCATAGAACTGAGTGTTATTCAGCTCCCATCACAACACAGCAATGAAGCAGAGCCCAGCTGGGAAAGGCACAGGGGATGAAAACAACTCTATCTGCATTATGTGATTCCTTCCTAGATTCAAATATGGGTGCCTGTCCTGAAGTGCTTTATGGGTCTTTATGGGACTCTGGCAGCTAGGTCATATGAGCTGTTTATTAGGCTATTTTTGATTCCTTCATTCTTCATAGCTGTGTGTGGTGGTACCTGCCTTTAATCCCAACCCTTAGGAGGCAGAGGCAGGAAGATTTTTACATATTGGCTCTCAAGTCAGTCAGGAGTATATAGTGAAAGCCTTGCTCAAAAACAAAACCAAAAATATTCCTTGTGTCTGATCATGCTGAAATTATATTCATTTATAAAAAAGAGTAATTTGTTGAGTAATGTCACATGATGCATATGAAAAATAGGAATATTCTAATAAATTTAAGACAAGTAATGTTCATTTGAAACTGTAGTGGTTACAAAACAAATCAGGATGCTTAATGCACAGTCATGTCCATCTATTTTCCAGTAGGTGGCAGACATTGTCAAGAAGTTATAGAAAAGAAAAGAAAGTTCTATGATTTCCAAAGCTGACCAATAGATGTCTCTTTACAACCATGTATCTCTGAGCCCTTGTATAAAATTCAGGGAGGTATAACATTTTCTAGTCTTTCTTGTTAATATGATAGCATCATCATAATTCTACAAGAAGTGCAAAACAAGCACTGAAGAGATGAGCATGAGGTGAAGTACTACACACATTGTCTCTGCCCAGCAGAAAACAGCCTATGAAAATGTACTTCTCAAGTAAAAGACTCCCCATTTAAAGGATTTTGAACACTACTAACCACATATGCAGGTGTTTACTCAACTAATAGCATCCCTGCTAACTCCAGAGAGACATAGAGTTAGTAACTATGGGTCTAGTGAGGGGTTCCTTGTGAATATACAGGAAATTGTGGAAATTACTAACCAGGGATAGCCTGACATCATTTTCATTGGAATTGTTTGTCATTCCAATTTCAATAGATACACACACACACACACACACACACACACACACACACACACACACAGACTTGTCTGGACTTATTGGCATCATTAACATGATATATTTGTATCTCTGTATGTGTGTGAATGTGTTTGTGTAAATTTCCTCCATATCCTAAAGATAGTCTTCAGTATGGAGTTCAAAGTATATAACCAGAATATCTGTACTGGACCCTGTGTGGGTACAGTATTCTGATAAATTTGCCTTTTATGCTAGAGAATATTTATCTCCAGTTAATTCTAAAGTTAATTAAGCATGTGTAATAAATATGGTTTCACACAGAGAAGCCCAGATATTGGAAGGAAATGTCATTCTGGGGATAGTTTGCTTTATCAAAGACTGAGTTAAATGATAAATCAGAAATGAAAATATATGTCCAAATTCACATAGAGATATAAATATGTACAAATCTACAAAGAACACCACACCACTGTCAATGAAGCTTCAGTTAATAAAATTTTGTTTCCATCTAGTAGGTTTTTTAATTAATAGTACTTTATGATAATTTCCAGATACTGCAGGCAAACCAAATGACTTTTCATCACTTCACATTCTTCACAGGTATTAACAGCCCAGCCACATGCTGTAGTTCCAAAGAAGTATGGTTCATTTTAGGGATAGGTACAGAACTACATGGAATATCCTACTTCTTTAAGGCCTGGAAGTATCACCTAATAATAGATTTACTTCATTTCCTTAATATAACTGGCAGACTCAACCCTGCTTTCTGTATGTGTGAAGACCTAAAATGTGTGCAAAGTGAGTACCAGCTATTCCACTAAAGCATTTCTCTGCTGGAAGAACAGGACTGTCTTTCCTTAACAACAACAATAAAAAAGCCAGGAAAAAGAAAGACCCCAGAAATCCAGGGAGCCTTGTGGGAAAGATTTAAGTCATCCTGGTTAGCTTGTCCAGAAAGTAGGGGAAATTTGAGAATGAGAAAAATGAGATGGCATGAACTTTCTAGAATCCCATCAGACCCAGGAATCAGTTCCATGGAAAACAGTTCAAGATTGCCTTCCAGTGGGTGTAAGCCTTAAGCCTATAGAGTTCTGAGGCCCACTACAAAAGGTCATGGGAGTTTGTGATTCTTTTTCCTTGGATTACATTTTACAGTCTAAGTTTGAGCCTTCCTTAATTTAACTTACCTGGTATTTCTAGCTTCACTTGGCTGAGGTTCTCTTTCACAAGAAGAATCTTTCTCATAAATTGGTTCCCTAAGCTGCCTAATTAAGGAACACCAGTTTCTCTCCTGCCTAGGACTAATTCCTTGCATTAGCAAAGGCTACTGGTCACTAACCCACCTCTCTCTTCTTTTATTTGAATTCAGAATGAAACATTTAGAATATGGTGATGCCATCTAAGCAAAACAAAATCTTTCTGTCAGTGGCCAAAGCCAGCACCCTCACCCATAGAATTCCAATGTCTGCAGGGATAGCAGAGTCCTCACAGCTGGCCTTGGGTGTGCTTGACTTCCATTACTGCATTTTCACCACATCAGGTTAGTACCAATTGTCCTCTGCTGTGCCTGAGCAGAGCACCTGTTAAATGTGATTTATGTCATCATGCTGTGGACTCTCACCTGCTAAAGTGGAAAAGACCTCACACATTTAGTTCAAACCTGTCTCTATGTAGTGGCTAGCCTTAAGAACAGTCTGGAGTGCACAGGCTCCTTGCAGAAGTGGGAACATGAACCTTTGCTGTAACCTGTAACTTAGACCCCAGCCCTAGGTCATAGAGTACAAAACTCAGCTGGTTTATGCATCTATAGTTCAAATTCAAGGATTCTTTTTGCTTTTGTTTTTCAATCACAGTGAATTTCTACTAAATTTTAAATAGATAGCAAGAACTCACTTTAGCAGGTTATTCTGTGTGTTATAATTATTAGTAAATAAGTACTTAAACGTCCCTTAACATTCCCAGTTGTCCTGTGGCTTTGTGCTCTCTCAATAATATTGAATCTCTAACAAACGGTGTGTTTTGCCAGAAATTAGGTGGCAAGGGGAAGGAGAATTCTTGTTCTATAAAGCAGGCGCCTAAATATGAGCAAACCCACTAGGAAGAGGCCAGCTCAGACTACAGCTCTGATCACACTTATGGTAGCCTGGGGAGAAAGCTAATGCATTTTCATGTTTTCCTGTCTCCCGAAGATTCAGTTCCTTAATTCATATAAACTCCTTTCTGTGTTTGACATTTAAACCAGTGACTGTTGGAAGGAGAAAGAGGAATCATTGAAATTAAACCGGGAAGTCTATGTGTTTCCTCCTCCCCCGCCCACACACTCCTGTTTTCTCATCCCCAGATTAAGAAGTTATGTCGCCTGACAATGCACTTTTCTCTTACAAGTCTCAACACCGTCGGTGGTATTCTCTATCCTCTGTTTTCTTCCAGCACCTGTTAGAAAAAAAGTCAGTGGTCTTCAGGGGGATTTGTTTCTCCAGTTTTGTTGGGAAGAGGCAAGATACATTGAAATACGTATGTATGGCGAAAACTACAATTTTAAAATGAGTCACTTCGGAGCCTTTTTAGACCTATTCCTATATGCAAATGCAAGTGATTGATTGCCTTCTGGACTGCCTAAGCTGTCAGTCAGGTAGTTTGCAAAGGAACCCCTTTTCATCTTTTAAGGCAAACCAGGAAAGTGACAGGGAGCTGGGGTGGGGCTGGGTGTTGAAGATTCCTACCAGCGAAAACACCACTAAATAAAAGCACATACTATTTAAGAATTAATGTAAATTGTCTGTAAAGATTCTCAAATGCTTTTTTCTTTCACTAAAACATGGTGTGGTACAAAGGGAGGAAGTCTTGTTCACATGTCTGCATGAGAACTTTTCATTCTTCTCCTAGAGTTTGCCTATTGTCCGAGTCTGCCCAAGCCTTCCCTTTTATCTTTGCACTCTTCCAGTTTCTGGGATAGGCCGCAAGGCATTCCTTTCAAGAGGCTAATGCAGCGACCAGTAAGTTAACCTCCCGGCACGCGGTCCTGGAGCTGGCCAGACCTGCCTCTGCGGTTGCCGGGCGCCTACACCTCCCTTTTCCTAAAAATCCGAGCCATCATAGGCCCGTGTGCAAATAAACCCGCTCCAAGTGCTACTTCCAAATATAGGCTCTCCAGCCACCAGAGGCTCTGCGGTCCCGAGGGCGGCCCTTCCTTCCCGCCCACTCAGCGCTGGGCAAGGCCCACATCTGGAAGCCAAGTCGTCCGCAGTCAGCTCGCGGGAACGCCTTCCCGCAATGCTCAAGAACGGAAATTTCCTCTTTTGAAAACATTTAATGTATTTTGGGCCTCCCCTGCAACGCCTTAAACAGCCCATTTTTAACCAGAATAATTTAGTCTGACAACAGATTCTTCATCTGTTCACAGCTGTCCCAGAAGGAGGAGCTGAAATCCGAACCTCTCGGCTGTGATTGGATGTTTCTAGTAAAAGCCAGGGAGAAATCCCCTCCCAGCCCAGAAGAGCTCAGTCGGGCAGAGAGCCGGGTGACTTCAGAGGCTCCCGCCTGTCCCCCGCCGCACCTGAGCCGCTGCGATGCTGTAGGACCGCCGCCTGGACCGTTATCCGCCCGCCCGCCGCCACCATGCCGCGCTCCTTCCTCGTCAAGAAACATTTCAATGCCTCCAAGAAGCCCAACTACAGCGAACTGGACACACACACAGGTAAAAATACTCCCTGCAAATCTGTGTGCGACTGAACCGGGGTTCCACTGCTTTACTCTACACACACTGGGGTGCTTTCCTTTCAATGTTGTCCTAAAACAGTTCTTGCAATCTCTGAGTTACCTAGAGTAAGTTTTAATTCAAAACTTTTGAGCTCTTTACTTACAAGGAAAGCCCCTTTCCGGTCCTGCAGTGTGGTTCTCAGAGGCGGTGTACATGCATAATGAGTGCACCGAGGTGAGCGCACCCTTCCCCGAGGGTGAGCTGTTGTTACCTTGGGGAGCCAGGAACTTGGGAAAGCAGCTGGATTCCTACATGCCATTGCCCCAACAGTCAAGGCACGTGTAGAATAGACCATGCATGAAATGGAAAGCAATTCTATAGAAAGTTTTAAAATGGTGTCTAGTTTTTTCTAAATGAGGACAGTAAGGCTCGTCCAGAATGCCCATTAGGAAGAGCCAGGGCACCTGTCAGCTTGCACAAGGACGTTAAGCCCAGATGAAGGGAATGTTTCATCTTTATGTGTGTCCTTGTGAGCGAGTCTGTCTTCACTATGGAGTGTTGTATGGGTTGTTATGTGCTGTCTCAGACTGTGTACATATATTTAAAAATATATTTTACCATAATTTTCTTTACTTTTTTTCCCCTTTTCTTTCTCCTAGTGATCATTTCCCCGTATCTCTATGAGAGTTACCCCATGCCTGTCATACCAAAACCAGAGATCCTCAGTTCAGGAGCATACAGCCCTATTACTATGTGGACATCGGCAGCTCCATTCCACTCCCCTCTACCCAGTGGTCTTTCTCCTCTTACTGGATACTCCTCACCCTTGGGGCGAGTAAGCCCCCCTCCTCCATCTGATACTTCATCCAAAGACCACAGTGGTTCAGAAAGTCCCATTAGTGATGAAGAGGAAAGACTGCAATCCAAGCTCTCAGACCCCCATGCCACTGAAGCTGAGAAGTTTCAGTGCAATTTATGCAATAAGACCTATTCTACTTTCTCTGGGCTGGCCAAACATAAGCAGTTGCATTGTGATGCCCAGTCTAGGAAATCTTTCAGCTGCAAATACTGTGACAAGGAATATGTGAGCCTGGGTGCCCTTAAGATGCACATTCGGACCCACACACTGCCTTGTGTCTGCAAGATCTGTGGCAAGGCTTTCTCCAGACCCTGGCTGCTTCAAGGACACATTAGAACTCACACAGGTAAGAGAAGTGTAGAAAACAATGCTTCTCTGCTCAAACAATGGTGTGTTGGGGATGTCTGTGGGGTGCCTTCAGGTAGTGAAGGGGGTGCTTTGCATAGGATGAACCACTGGTAGCTGCTTCCTGGCTACTCAAAAGCTTGTTAGAGCAGCAAATGCTCCATTCCTTGCTAACAGCTTCTGCTCCAGAGACTGTAAACAGCATTTAGACTTTGGAAAGTACATGCAAGAGGTTTGGTCTCAAAGATCAGTTAGAAAGCAGGAGCGAGGTAATTGATGTGTGTTCTGCAGAACTGCCTCTGGCAGTCAGCAAATACAAGTGCCTGGATCCTACTGTTGATTTGATAAACAAAGAGGTTTTCCATAATTTTTGGCTACATCTTCACTGTGAAATCTGTCAACTCTTAACTAGTTAAGTAAATGGAAATGAATTTGATCTATTTTGTTTGTCTGTTTGTTGTTCTGGGGCTTTGTGTTGTTATTTCACTTTCTAGCTGCTGAAATTTTTTTAAATCCTTAGCACAAAAGCATATGCAGGGAGTCATGGCATTTATAGAGCCTTAGTCATCACACAGAAAGAGGATAAATACTGGGAATGTGGGGAGTTTCTCATCCTACCTGCACCTGTTGAAGCAGAAACCCTTATCAAGAGAAAGCCATTTAACTCTGAATTACTTCTGGATGTCTGGCAGAACTGAAGCTATTTGGCTGGTATTTTTAAAGGAAATTTTGCTTTAAAAGGCCTGACAGGAATGTAGCTACCTACCATGGGGGGGATATAATCAGGCTAGACTAATTCTTATTCTTTTGATAAACTATTGTTGATATTCATTAATGTTATTTAACTTTGTGTCCTGTAAAAACACTGACTGTCTTTTTTTTTCTTACCCTTCCCCCCCACAAACCAGGGGAAAAGCCTTTCTCTTGCCCTCATTGCAACAGAGCTTTTGCAGACAGGTCAAACCTGAGGGCACATCTGCAGACCCACTCTGATGTAAAGAAATACCAGTGCAAAAACTGCTCCAAAACCTTCTCCAGAATGTCTCTTCTGCACAAGCATGAGGAGTCTGGCTGCTGTGTGGCACACTGAGTGGCGTAACTAGTGTTTACTCGAACAGAATACATTTCATCACTCCAATGACAAATGACAAATGAAAGTCCAAAGCCATTTTCTCTTGTGCTTACCTACCAAATAATATGTACAGACACAAACAAGAGTCTCTCTCTCTCTCTCTCTCTCTCTCTCTCTCTCTCTCTCTCTCTCACACACACACACACACACACACACACACACACACACACACACACATGAAACTACAGAACAGAATCTATATGCTTAAAATTAATCCTTTCTATGTGAAATTTAAAGTTTTATTTACTGACAGCTAGATTGAAAGGCTAAAAGACAAGAACCTTTCTCTTTAAAGATGAAGTGAAAAGCACATTGCATCTTTTCTTACTAAGAAAGAATGCGGAGATTTACATTGCTGCCAAACCATTTCAACTAAAAGGAACAGTATTGCTTGTTAATAGAGCTGTAATAGTGTTTCCAAGAGGAAGAGAGTCTGCCAGATGCTATCTCAGGTGCCTTATAAAATACTCCAAGTTTACTTCCTTACATGTCGGATGTCTGGTTGTCATCGGTGAATGAAAGCCTTTTCTGGATTACCTACAATGCTTTAAACTCTATTGTTAAGAGAAAAAAAATATGAGAAAAAGAACAGAACACAGGAGAATGTATTAAAATATTCTTGTTTTGTTTCATTTTTGCCATGTGTGCCTTGGAAGAGGAGGAAAGGACAAGCTTCAAACATTCCTGGTGCGTGTGCCATGTCTTACTTTTTAAAAGAATCTTAGTGATTTATAAGACAATGTAATGAATAAGACAATATAATGCAAGAGAGCATCTTAGACATTCAGTAATGTACTTACACTTTTGAAAATGCATATGATGGATGCAATAATACAATGCCCCTCCAAGTGCCTGTTTTAATGAATTGTGTAGTTGATGTAAATTTGTGTTTATTTTTATATGACTGAATGAACTCTGTGTGAAAGTGAGGTGAGGTCTATAACTGTGCCTATATACAACCTGAAAACTTGTGAAATCAATGTTCCTTTTTTAAAAAGTAAATTTCAAGGTCTTTTTTTTTACAATAAACATTTTTGGTTTAAAATTGATTGCTCATATACTATTTTCAAAAACCTCATTTGTTTTAATATCAAATACTATAGTAAAATTTATTTTTGTGTTAAGAGAAAACATAAATGGTATTTTTATACATATAAAGTATCAATTTATTATGCTAGGTTATAGTAAACTGCCCTTTTAAAAATAACTCTTAAAGTACTATCACATTCAGAAAAGAAAGTAACATGAGGTAGCTTGTTGGCAAGTTTCTAGGGCAATAAATGCTCATGTTAATAGTCAAAAACACTTTTCAAAATATTCTAATGTTAGTTTTACTGACTTTATGAAAACAAATTTAATCATTTATGTCTTTTCATATGCCATTGAAATAGTATAAAAATTTAAAGGAAATATTTAATGAGATGAGAGAGAAACATAAAGAAAGTCTACATGATAGAAAATAGAGTTATCATAAGTAATACACATTGGAAAAATTAAACCATGTAAACAAAAGCCCATTGGTAGTGATGTAGGTAATAAGTATGGTGGCCTTAGGGTTAAACTAAAACACTGAAGTGTTATTGTATGGTATGATCAAGCTGAGCAATCTTCCACCCAAGCCCAGGATATATTTCATAAAATATTATCTAACCATATATTCCATATTCAAAATCATGTTGTCTAAATGGATATGTTAGTTTTCTAACCATGATGAAACTTCACCAGCGCATATGTGAACCCAAAGTTGAAGGCTGTTGCTAAGTAGGTTTTTGCTATTAACTCTAGTATGATCAGAAGTTGTAAAATCATCTTTTTCTTTTGATTCTTTTATGATATAAACAAAAGCTGGTATTATTATCCCAAAAGAACCAACACTAAATGCTTGGCCAGTGCTTTCCCTACTGGGTATTTTACATTTACATTTTAGCCTATGTATACAGCAATTTTGTATTTGATGAAAAATGCCAGTTTGAATATTGTACTTTTAAATTGTTTGGATATCTCAGGTCATAGTTCTCAGAGTCAAAATTATCTGGCACAGTAGTTTATAGGTTTGAAAGCAATGGCCTATCATTTTGCTAGAGCATTATAAAGTTGTTTTAAAAAGCCAACTGAATAATGTATATCTGGAAAAGTAATATTGCAGTAGTAATTGGAGAGTCTCCAGCACAGCCAACATGAGGACTGTCTTGTAAAGGGAAAAGCTGAGTCAAGTCTTTGTGAAAGCTTTGGTGGCTACCTCAGGAGCCACAGTTACTCCCATTTCCCGTTCTCACTGGTTAGAGCTATAAGCAAAGTTTCTTGGTGTCAAAATTTAAGCAACTACCTTTCCAAATGGAAACATCTGTTCATTACTTTAATTCCTCAATGAAAGAATAATACATTTTTCAATGTATTACCACTACTCTAATTTCATTTTAATTTAAATATTACAGTTTTAAAAAAGCATCATGGGTCAGAAGGTACAGTGGATATTAGGATAATCTTTAAATATGCCTGAATTTGTACTATGGCTTTGATGTATATCTGCCCTTCTGCATCCACAAATCTTCGGAAATGTTGTTCCATTCATGCCATGACATTTACTGAGTCACAAGCTTTGGTGGTGGTTATTTTCCCTTTTTACTATATGGGCCATTGTCAGTGTGGAAGCTCCCAGTGCTCAGCATAGCACTAGCACAGCATTTTAATAAATATTAAATGAATTGATTGAAAAAGCAACAGAATTGATAGAAAAGCTTACAGAGTCAAAAGAAAGTCAGTATATCTCCTCATTACTGCAGTTATGATAATTTTCAAGAAAATTCCTGCCCCCATTCATTCTATGTCCTTATGCAAGTTTGGGATCACACTGTGCCCTAATTTCCTAAGGCACAAAATAGGAACAGAGTCTTGGTACTGCAGAAAAAGAACTGAAGATCCCTACTGCTGTTATTTAATGCTTACTATATGTGTATTAATATGTGTGTAGTACATACTGATGCTGTGTAGAACATACAATTGTGCATATGATTAGCCATGATAACAACAGAAGATACTGCTATTTCACCAATATAGGTACAAAATGCAGGTTGAAAATGGGACCAAGGTAGCAAAGGGGTCAAGCTGCAGAACAAAAAACTGTACCTAGACTTTTTCCCTCCAAGTTTCCATGTTTCCCACACTATGAAAATATGGAAACTTGCTCACCTATACTTAACATTGTGAAATTTATACATCATGGGTCTTGGTTACAAGCTTGGTAAGAAAGACAACAATAATGTTCTGAAATGCAATGTGTTAATGCTATACTTAGGAGATATCACAATTCAGAAATGATACTACAGATATCAGCACTCTTCAGAAGTCTATCTCATGTTGTAGACACCCTGTTGGCTCCTCTTGCTCCAGCCTGGGCCCTCCTTGCTAACCCTACAGCTACTCAGGCTGACATCTCAATGGGAGCCCATTTCCTCTGGCTTATTCTCTGTGGAGATGAAATGCAGCTGCTCTCCATCCTCTGTACATTAACACTTCATCTTCTGAAGGCCATTGCTGCTCCCTCCCACACCCACACTTCTCATCCTGCTTTTATCTTTTCAAACTGAAAAGTCTTCCAAGCTAAACAGCCATTTCTTCCCCCACTAAAATGTGGATACTTTGGGGTAATGAAACAATCAAAATTTTGAAAAATATAAGGCTTTCCTGGATAACAGCTACATCATGGAAGTTGACCCTATTTATATCTAAGAAACATTTTAACAAAGTTAATTTGAGATTCAGTATTCTGTCATCTAGGGAAGAACTAATTTTCAAATCAGATTATTTTCTGTCATAGAGGACATTAGGACTGCAACATCTCCTTTATCTAAGATAGCTGCATGAGGGATACTTTGAAATCCTGTTCTTAACAGTAAATGTGCAAGATCTAGCAGTACAGGAGGGAATGGCTACTGAGTAGTGGGCCCAGGTCCTTAACCCTCCAGGAAGCAATCATTCCTGTGAGGAAAGCACATGTACAGATCAGCAAGTATGGCAGCTTTTCCTTTGTGGCACCAGGCCAGACTCCTGAACAATGAGAGATTAGCAGAGGAAATGGCAGCATATCCATGTCCTCTGACTCCAAAGGGAACAGGGTGGGTATTTATAGCAGGGGCAGGAGAGCTGCTCTGAGGGAAAGCAGGGATATTTGAACATTGTGAAACAATTCATTTCACTAAGCTTCATTTGTTGTAACAGTTGAATCCATTCAGCTTATTCTTGTGAAACAAGAAACTTGAAATAGTTAGGAAGTCCTTTAAATTGTCCCTAAGTAGTTTTCCTTGACAACAAACCAAAGATAAAGGTCTGGTACTTGTTTGCTTCAGCAGCTGGGATGGTGGAGAGGATGTGATTCTGTCTCCTGATTTATTCTTGGGACTTGAGTCAAGTGCCTTTCAGGTATGGGGCATCAGCGGACTTACTGAAACATTCAGTCAATGCTAAGAAATGAGAAGCGAAGTTCCAGCTGAATAAAACAGTGACAACTTCTCTTGCCAAAGGCAATTAATGCAGTTCTATTTCTCCTAAGTTCCAACTTCGCTCCATATAGACACACAGATGTAACGAGGTATAGGAAATTCCTGTATTGTGTTAAAATATTTCCCCAAAGAATTAGCAGAAAGGCCAACACAAAAGGTGCTTATCTCTTTCTGTACCTGGATTGTTGAGCTGTGCAGTCTGTGGTCCTGTCTGCTCAGGGCCAGTGCTTCAGGGATTTCAGCATGCTCTGTCCTCCATGGGTTGCTAATCTCCTGCCAACTGACTCTGAGGGCCTGAGAGTCTGCATTTCTACCCCAGATGATGCCCCCCTGCAGAGGACAGGTCTTATCTGCACCCAGGAGGGAACTGACCTTCAAGCCCGGGTCCAGGTCCTGGCTTCTTGGGCAACTATAGTTGTAGTTGTATAGTTGTAGTCAAAATGGCCACTGGGAGAATGGCAGAGCACAAGTGGAATCTAGAAAGTGCCTTTGCTCCATGTGTGCCTAAGTGGGAGGAGGGAGGCAAGAACAAATAGATTTCCACCAATGCCAACTCTCTTCTTTTCCTGCCTTCTCTGCTTTCCTAATAACCAGCAACACCACAATTCCTGATATATCACTCCTCTGTTGAGGAAACCATGGATTCAACCATACCAAAATTGTTTTTGTGAAAAACTACCTCAATATTGAATATAGAAATATTTTAATAATTGTTTCCTAAATAATAAAGTAAAAGTTTTTCACATTGTTTATATTGTATTAGACATTGTAAGTGATTGAGAAAAAATTTACACTATACACAAGAGTTAGTGGCCTGTGTGCAAACACTATTTTTTGAGAGCCTTGAACATCTCTGGATTTGGCACTAGAGGGTCCTGGAAGGAGGCCCCTGTGGATTCTGAGGGACCCTGCAGCAGACTGACAAGACTGACTTTTGGTTCTGAGTTTACTCTAATTTCTCTTGTACTGGAGTCCTGCCAAGCCTTAGATGATTTAACGGGGGTGGGGTGAGAGGGTGGAGGGATGTCATACCAGTTCTTACTAGTTTACTAACAACTGGGAAAGCTGGTTGGCTTAGTACTCAGCATGAGGCCTCTAAGTGGATTCTCTCATGAAAGCTTAGGAACCACATGTAATTGTGCCATGAACCATGAGCAGAGAAGCTCTGGTCTGCTTGTCAGTCCGTGC